GAAACCCAAGGAGGGGTCGCTATGAGTCGGGGGTCGACTCGACGGCACATAACAACAACAACAACAACAACATCTCTACAGAAGTAGATTGCCTGACCTTCCTCCTGAGGAGTGGCTGGTGGGTCTCAACCACCAGCGTTCTGGTTAGCAGTCAAGTACCTTAGGCATGATGCTACCAGAGCTTAGCCACAGCCAAACTCCTTGAGGGAGTGGGTCGCCGGGTCTATGGTGATGGGGGACATCAAGCTCAAGTTGCACAACATAGTACACAAAAACATTGTTCTTCATTCTTTTTGGTGAGTAGTGACTAGGGTCTTAAAATTTTGCAAGTGGCCATCTAAGATGCGATGTTTGGTCTCTCCTCATCTGGATCAAAGAAGGTGAAGAAAATCAAAGATCATGGAAACAATTAGTCCAAAGGACTAGTGGGCCATCAGAACCTCAGCTTACATGGCCCTGTGACCAGAACTAGATGGTGGTTGGCTACCACTGTCAACCACTTGGAAAGGGATTAAAATAAGAGATCCTGAATAGAGCGGGGGAAAAATATGGACCAAAACTCAAAATTATAAGAGACCAGGCTTGCTGGTCTGTTAGAGACTGGCGAAACCCCTGAGACTATGGCCCTTAGTCACCTTTTGGGAACTGAACTCACAACAGGCCTACAAGGGGAGCAATCACACCAGGTAGTTACACTCCTTAGAACAATAAACCGTGGAGATCAGAAGAGCAGTATTTGCACAGGGAGGTAGCTCAGAGGTCAGGAATGCATAGGAAAAAAAGACACAGGGAAAAGTTATCCACATGGAGGAATGGGGATTGCAATTGATGTCACATAACAAAATGTGTATGAACTGTTGAATGGAAAATGAATTTGCTCTGTAAACTTTCACTCAAACCACAATTTTAAATATATATAAAATAAAATAAATAAGAGTGTTTGCATATTCTTTGATGAGGTACAGTCCACCAAAGCAAAATATGAAACCCAGAGCCACAAGAGATTGTTCTGGGCTCCATATTTCTCTCTGACTTCATAAAAATTAAAAAATTCTATAGGATAAAATGCATCATCAGGAACACTTAGTGATAGAATGGGATAAAATGTTTGGTTTGTCAACAAATATGAACCCCTTTGCATATACAGTACTGAGTTGTCAGTGAAAGCAAACATGGGTATAGGGACGGATAGATGGGTGAACAAGCTAAACAATTATGTATGTCTAAATGGAGAGTGTATCCAAGATCATATACAGGGTTGGCAGACAATGGGCCTCTCGAAGAGTAGGAAGGGATGGACACTGGGAGGAGGTAACTATGGGGAGGAAGTGGGAGGGGAGCTGCTGCATTGTAAATTTTGGTCAATGACATGAGACAAAGTATATGTGAACTGCTGTATGAAAAGTGAATTTACTCTGTAAATCTTCACCCAAATCCTAAAAAAAAAAAAAAAAGTTTGGTTTGTGTGTATCATTCAGTTAAAATTTATAATTTAATGAGGTCCTATAAATCAATAAGAAAAATGTGTATATCACAACATTTGTTTGCAGTAGTTGGGACATACTTATACTAAAAAAATATTCATTGTTTATCTAAAATTCAAATTTTTTTTTTTTTTTTGATCTGGCAACCCTGAAAAGATATTAACTTCAAATTACAGCATGAGAAACACTAATGATCCACTGTCATTGTAAAGAAGCTTAACATCATCATGCAAATTAAAACAAAGATGAGAAACCATTTTGTGCTCATTGGATTGGAAAACATGAAGAAAACTGTCCAGTTTTGGCAAGGATACAAGGAAACATGTATTTAACACACTGTCATGTGAATGTAATTCAATAAAGACTTTCTGTGAAGTCTTGGCAGCATCTGTCCAAATTTTAAATGTAAATAATTTTTAACTGAGAAATTTCACTTCCAAGAATATACCTTATAAAAATACTCACAAATGGACAAAAGTGATGGACACAGAAACAGAAATGTTCACTGCAACATTGTTGAGTGAAAAATTTGGATTAAAAAAAAGCTGACTAAATCTTAGTCAAGAAATAAATATATATCATCACATGTAATCCCACCCCAAACCAAAAACAAACTGTACCATTGAGTTGCTCTTACAGCATAGAGTAGAACTGCCCCATAGGGTTTCCAAGGTTGTAAACCTTTACAGAATCCTACTGTCTCATCTTTCTCCCACTAAGTAGCTGGTGGGTTCAAACCTCTGACTTTTTTGGTTACCAGCCAAATGCTTTAACCACTGTGCCACTAGATTGTTTTGTAATCCCACCCCATTTATGTAAAATCAAACTCATAAACTACTTCTAAACTATTCCAGTGGATTCTGACTCATGGTGATGACATGTGTGTCAGAGTAAAAGTGGGCTTCACAGGATTTTCAATGCCTTCAAACTTTTTGAAGTGAATTACATATATGGCATAGTGTCTAAGGCATTTGACCGCTAACCAGAAGGCTGGCAGGTCAAATCCACCAGCCACTTCTCAGAAGGAAGTTTGGGCAATCTACTTCCATAGTGATACTGCCTCAGAAACCCAAGGAGGGGTCGCTATGAGTTAGATTCAATTTGACAGCAGTCAGGTTTTTTTTTTTTTTTTAAATGCATATTATAAAGACTGGGAGGGCAAAGGCTAAACTGATAAAAGTGGTTACCTCTTGAGGAGAGCACAGACAGAGGGGAAAGTGGAAGCGTTTGTGTTTTATGCTGTAGAATTTTGTACTGTTGCTGTTTTACGATGAACATATATTCTAGCATGACTTAAGTAATGTGACATAAGTTTTAAAATAAGAAGAGCAGAAAGTCATATAGACTACCAACTGATGAGGGATTTATAGGAATAAGTTGAAACTGAGCAAAGTGACTGGCTAGTTCTAAATATTCCAGCTACCTCAAACTATCATCTCTTCTGGTTCCCTCTGTTAAAAATTGATCTAGCCTGGTAGTCTGTCTCATCTTCTCTCTGTTGTTGTTGTTGTTATGTGCCATCGAGTCGGCCCCGACTCATAGCGACCCCTCCTTGGGTTTCCGAGGCAGTATCACTACGGAAGTAGGATTGCCCAACCTTCCTTCCGCGCATCTTCTCTCTAGAAGGGTTCTTAAGCAAAAAATATCTCACTCACATTTTTCCTATGAGTCATGCAATTGAGATTGATATACAGACTATCGCTGTTCTGCAAATCTTCTTTAACTTCACCTAATGCAGCATGTTAAATAAAACAAAGCATATAAAGAGAGTGAGGGTGAGGTCAGGTAAATTAGTCAAAATAAAAGCATAAACTGTTGCTTTTCCTTGTGTGAAAACATAGAAGAGCCTTAGCAACAGTCCTGTTTGCTAAGTGGAAAATTGAATTTCACTGCAGAATTATATCTCCTCTCTCCTTTTACTCTCTTTAAAGAAGCTAGTTGGTTAGAAAGTGACAAGCCACATTAGTGAACAATTATGTACACAGTGCAGATCCTAGAAAAGTCACCAGGACTTGGGCCACACAGCATTGGCTGAAGCTATCCCAGTCCTGCTACAGCCCAGCCCATTAGCCTCAAGAACAGCCCCCTGTCCTCAACCCTGCTCTTGACCCCTGATCTCCTCAGGGGACATGTCAATGGCATCTTACCACACTAATTCCATCATTGAGAAGGGCCTCCCCGAAGATCATCATGTAGAGTGGCTCATTCACACGCGCCTCCTCGAACACAGCCAACACAGCCACAGGGTCCACAGCTGAGATCAGGCTGCCAAACAGCAGGTTCTGCAGCAGGTTAACATCACTGAGGCCAAAGGCCTTGATCTGGCAGATGAGGTAGAGGGAGAAGCCAATGCCAAAAGCGTTGATCAGGGCCCCCAGTCCAGCCCACCACAGGATGGAGCCAAAATTCTCAAAGAAGGGCCGGGTGGGCATGAAGTAACCACCCTCTAGGATAATGGGTGGAAGGAGATACAGGAAGTAGATACTCGAATCCATGACTGGAGGTGATTTGTGGTCAGTGCCAAAGATGATGCTGCCCACCAGGACCCCGACAATAATGAGGAGGCAGCTTTCTGGCATGAGGCCTGGCAGTTTGTGGTACAGATGGAAACCTGGGGAAGAGCAGAGGTTATATGAAGGTGCTTGCAAGTAAAACAATTCTGGCCACTAATATACCATTAGTTGTTATGTACAAAAATATGTTTAACCATATAGATGGGACCTTGAGCAAGCTGTCTGTCATTTCTGAATCTCAGCACTGAATCAGTTTCTGTTGTTGTTATGTGTCGTTGAGTTGTCCCCAACCCATAGAGACTCCTCCTAGGGTTTCCGAGGCAGTATCACTACAGAAGTAGATTGCCCAACCTTCCTTCTGAGGAGTGGCTGGTGGGTTTGAACCGCCAGCCTTCTGGTTAGCAGTTAAGTGCCTTAGACATTATGCTACCAGAGCTCCTACTCCATCAATAGCAGGTATTAATTTTGTCCAACTGGCCATCTTGTGTGGGTTTTAAATGAGATCAAGTCTTTCATGTGTTGGACCCAATTCAGTAGAAAGTTTTCTCAGTCAGTTGTCCCCTTTTCCCTAACTCCTTCCTGCTTTTTCCATCTTCTAGGGATTTGAAGGGCACAGGAGGGAAAAGGAGAGAAGACAAAACTCTTCTGCATTAATGCAAAACCCACCTTTAACTCATGCAGAGTCACTCAAACCTCACCTTATTCTATATTAACCTTCCAAGTTCCCCTGGTTCCCCTTGGTCCTGTTCCCCTCTCCAACAAACAAACCAAAAATAAAATAACCCTTTATTTTGATTTCCTTACTTAAACAATGACATTGCCATTTGTTCAGTCACTCAGGAAGACACTTTCTCATGAACTTGCCCCTTCATCATCGTCCCCTTATGCAATCAGCCCCATATTTCATCAGTTACAACTCTCTCCATTTCTAAGGCTACTGCCTTCATTTAGTCTCTCCTCATTTCTTCTCCTAATTTCTGCATTATCCTCCAGATCTCTAATTTCACCCTCAGCCTCCAAGTCCATCCCAACAGTGCTGCCAGGCAGGTTTTTCTTGTCATGAATATCTGATAGTCTCATTCCTCACCTAACACTCTGAAGGCATAGAAAGCATCTCAAGGATTTCAAACTGTGGATATTTGTTTGGCATCCTGGGCAAAGACCAAACCATATGCTCTGTTAAGTACTGTAAAGTGGATATTCAAAGGAGTTTGCTACAAGTACTGCTATGATGACAATTTAGAAACAAGACATGAGCAAAGAAAGCAAAAATATACCTGATAAGGATACAATGAAGTGAGTATTGAATATTCCAGCAAATGTGATAAATGGTCAGAGCATGAAAGTCACCATAGGACTTCCTCTAAGCTTATTTCATACCCTGCATTACTTTGCCATGGCCTACAAATACCTTTTTACCAAGCAGGTCTTCTTTCTTATCTTCTTATGCTGTTATTTCTCCTGGGGTTGTCCTTTTTCTCAGTTTGTTCAAGTCCTGCTCACATTTTGAGGCCTACCTTTTCCAACTTCCTCCCAGGGAAATAATATGTCTTCTTCTGAATTATTGTAACATTTTACCTATATTTGTATCTGTATCTAGCAACACTGATCCTTTTCTTATCCATTTGTGTGTATAGTTTATCTCCTTTACTGATCTCTAAGCTCCTTAAATTCAGACACAATGATATATATCTTTATATCTCTTCAAAGTGCTTAGTAAGGTGCCTTTTCCTCCATAGCTGATCTATTTACTGAAAGAATCTATATGTGTATAAGTCAAGGAATGAATGAAGTGCTGCTCTGAGAAGCTTTTACATGGAAAGTAGAAGTTGAACGGTAGTTGGAGAAGGACCAGGATTTACATAGTTGAATAACAGAATGGAAGATATTTTACACTAAAACCAAACCCACTGCCATTGATTTGATTCCAACTCACAGAGACCTTATAGGACAGAGTAGAACTGTTCCACAGGGTTTCCGAGGCTGTAAGTCTTTACAGAAGCAGAATGCCTCATCTTCCTCCTGCAGAGCAGCTGGTGGGTTCCAACTGCCAACCTTTGGATTAGCAGCCCGGTGCTTTAACATTTTAGGTGGGAGAATTTCGGATGCAAAAGAGGAGAGGCAAGGTCCAGTCACACATTTATGACATTCATTTACACTTGCTGGGGCAAATTTTGAATGGGGAAAAGTAGTGGGAAGATGATGAATTGGATAATTTTGAGCCAGAGAATGGAGAGCCTTAAATTCAAAGCTAAGGAAAGTGGGCTTCCCTGCATAGATCCTGGGGAGACAGTGAGTTTCTCTTTAGAAATTTTTAGGTTCAACTATCCATAGAGTGTGTGTTCCTTTGGCCTCTGCTTTAGACTTTCCATTCACCAACCAAAGGCAAGTTAATACAATGGAATATAATTATCATCAATAGATACCATCCCAATGCCCCTAGCACACTGACTTCAATGCTAGTTTAAAGGATTCTGCACTCTGGAAGGGAGCTCTGGTGGCGTAGTGCCTAAGGCATTTGACTGCTAACCAGAAGGTTGGAGATTCAAACCCACCATCCACTCCCCTGAAGGAAGGTTGGTCAATCTACTTCAGTGGTGATACTGCCTCAGAAACCCAAGGACGGGTCGCTATGGGTGGATCCAACTCCACGGCAATGGTTGCATTGTTGCACTCTGGAAATAATGTATCTTCCTCTGGATTCTGGAGTTCTGTACTCTGCATTTCCTGATGACTTGTTCTTCTCTTAATGCTTATTTTAATCGAGTTTAACTTTCCTTAAGATGGAAGAACCCATAGTGTGATTTTCTCAGGATTAACTCTCCAGGTTGGGCCTGCTTCCAAGAATGCAGTTTCCTGGAATGGCTTTGACATCCACCTTCCTTAAGCCAAGGATGCCACCCTATACCAGTGTCATTGGGAAAAGTCTACATATTCTTAAGTAGGGCACTATAAAAGGAAAATTTATATGCATTGACATATAAAGCAAGATACTGCATGAAATTCTAGAAAATTAAAAGCAATATATTATTTATTATACATTTTAAAAGTTTCCCCTTTTCATGTTGGACAATGGAGTCGGTAACTTTTACAATTCCAGCATCTGAAACTTAAATGGTCACAAATAAAAAAGACCTACTCAAAAACCAGGGAGAAGATGGTCCTACAAGAATGGAATAATAATACAAGAATGGACTGTCCAATGACTCAAGGAGCATTCTTCTGTAATATTCCAAGAAACTGATAAACCACAAAGTCTGAAGTGACTTGTATTATCTTTGTTCAATGACATCCTTTCTCTATAATATGAATAAATGAGTAGTTTAAAAAGGTTTGGGAATTGTTTTGGTATTCTTCTGTCAAAATACCTACCAGACAGTACTAGGTTACCTGGTCTGTCTTCCTCATTGGAGTTAAGTTTTATGAGGTTACAGACCATAGTCATTCCAACATAATGCACCAGGGCTCAATGCCTTGATTTAATGGTTGAATAAAATAATGGATTATAATAATTATTATTATTAATTATATCTTGATTCAGATTTTATAATATAGAATCTCAAAGACCACATAATATAAGTTCCTTAGTAATAGTGTTTTGAAAATCATATTTTTCAGCCTTGGTAAATGAAACACTATACAGGTATGTGTTGCTTAACAGACAGATATGTTCTGTGAAATAGCATGTTATATGACTTGGATATTGTGAGAACACCATATTACAACCTTAAGGGAGCTCACTTCCGATGGTTTCCACGTTGCTGCTGCTACTGCTGCTTGAGCTACGGACAGAGATAGAAGGGAATTAACTGGTGTCAGGTGGCTGTGATGTAGTGCCTAAGGCATTTGACTGCTAACCAGAAGCCTGGAGGTTCAAACCCACCAGCCACTCCTCAGAAGGAAGGTCTGGCAATCTACTTCCATAGTGATACTGCCTCGGAAACCCAAGGAGGAGTTGCAATGAGTCAAATCTGACTCGACAGCAGTGAGTTTGGTTTTTGGTTTGTTTTGAGTGGTTACAGCAGCAACAGTGGGAATGAAGAGGAGTAGAGAAGTAGTGGAACACACCCTGCACTGTTTCTTGTTCTTCCTACCTGAGGAGCAGCAATAGCCCACTACCACTGCCCTTAGGACAAAGCCCAAGAGCCCATGACCAGAGCCATGTCTTCTGCTTGATCTACCTGTATGCCACTTATGGTCCAGTGCTACAAGAGTCTGAGTTTGGGTCTTTAAAACCATTGGGAGAAATAAAAGACAAAAGGAGAACTGTTTTCCCTTTTTTTTAAAAAAAAAAAAAAAAGAGAAAAGTCATGGGACCACAGATGTATTTACATCAGACACTGTCAGATGGACATTAAGAGACACATACCTGTATATAAAAGTACTAGTTAGTACCTGGTATTGTGCTATATATTCAACAAATATGAGTTCCTTTTCTTGTTGCTCCACATGTCCATATGTGCTAGAAAAATAATCTGAATTCTTGAATATTAGCAAATATGGAATTGTCCTTAAATAAGAATGATCCTACTGCTATCTCATTTAAATTATTTTAATTTTCCAAAGTATATTGAATTGTGTCAGCTTGAAAATCAAAGAACATTTAAATCAGCTGCTCTATGAACAATCATACCAAAGGAATCATGGGAGCTCTGGTAGCATAGTGCCTAAAGCACTTGACTGCTAACCAGAAGGCTGGTGGTTCAAACCCACCAACCACTCCTCGGAAGGAAGGTTGGGCAATCTACTTCCGTAGTGATAATGCCTCGGAAATCCAAGGAGAGGTTGCTATGAGTCAGGGCGAACTGGACAGCACATAACAACAACAACATGAACAATCATGCCCTTACGGAACTCCTCCCATCTAGTCGTGGTGCATCTGGGCACATACAAGAATCTTCAGTTAGTTTCCAAAGAACAAACTTTATTGTATTCTAATATAGAAACCAAGGTGAAATGTATCTTTTCTGCATTGAGGTGTTTACTGATGTAACATGTTTCTTTTCTGTTAGAAAATCCTCATTTGTGCAACATGTTAGACTACAAAGGGACTTTAGAAACAATTTCACAGATGAACAAACAGATTTAGAAATGCTAAGTGATAAGCTAGATAGTGTCAGATAGTTTCCTGATTCTCAGACCATTTCACCCATTACGATGGACAGGAAAAGAAGAACTTAGAATCTCTAGCATTGGTTACAAAGGATAACTCAAGATGCACATAAGACCACCTTGTATATTCTTAGTGTCCATGCCATCCCATGAAATGTGTTAGACCCTAAGCTCTGAACTGAAAAGCATCCACTTGGAAAGCCATTTTTATTTGAGTACTTTTAAAACATAATGTGAGACATTTTATGTAAATTGAATGTTTAACAAATAGCACAAGAGTTCTGAAAACTGGCAATTCCAACTCAGTTTTCATAGTTTACTAACTCAAAATGAGTAGCAGTGACAAAGAAACATCTAATAAATATACCAGTGCCTCCAATATCCTTGGAGAGGGTGTTAAATGACTAGGGAAAATCCATAGTCCTGATGTCAAATAGCTAACTGCCAGGTTTCCAGATTTCCCACCCACCCTAGAAAAAATATATAAATGAGCATCAAAATATTTCATCAAGATTATATATCTCAATAACACAATATATACCTGCTTAAAAAATATGAAGTTTATAAGTGAACCAATGGAGAATTTATGCTTAATAACTGAGATAACTGTGTCAATTTTCCACCTTGGAATAAGCTGATTTCAAGGAGGCAAGAGGGTGGAGTTTGTGATAAACAGTAACAGGGGGTAAAACACCACTTTGGTTTCTTAGCACGAAGAAGTCTTGATTAAAATTTAATCTATTCACTTGAATTCCCTTTATTTCACAAAAAAAAAAAAAAAAAAACCCAGAGGTGTCTCCATGACTCTCCCTTTGGATCTGCTATAAACCAATATTTTATTGACGGACACAATCTCACACACTAACATATCCCATCACTCAGTGATGGAAGTGTTGCCTATGTTTGTCTTGCTCTTCGCTTTCTGTCAGTTTGCAACACACATCAGTTTCAAAGAATGAAAAATGGGAGCCATTGATGATGTCCATGGTTGCATAGTTAAGAATGAAGGAAGAATATTTTACATGAAGAATCATTTTGTGGCTCTTAAAATTTCCTACCTGCACCACCCTGAGGTCTATATGATTTTCCCTTTATATTTTTAAGAAACACAAAACTTGAGATTTTTACCTGCCAAGTAATGTCACATGGTTGTCACTCTAATATTAGAAAGGAACTAAAACAAACCATTACCCATAAGTATGCTCTTAAATTTCTAAGCACAATCCCCAAGCGTTAAATGCTTTCATAAAAAGCAATTCCCTTGACCCAAGGGAACAGGCTTTTTAGAGTAAAAGCAATAACAGTTAAAATCAATTTATTCCACCACTTAACAGGCATTCTCATGTAGAAAAAATCTCCCACAACCAGGTGTTCTGGGACTTACCTATTTTTGCAAGGGATGCTAGAAGTATCCAGAGGGTAACTTCATAAGGAATTTGCACATAGTCATAATCCAATGAAAAAACAGATATCCTTTCACCTGGCTCTGTGCTGGCAGCAGCAAATCGAGCATTAGAGTTGCCGTTCCACTGTTGGGCAGTGGAATTTGCGAAATTCAAATCAGAAGATGCATCAGAATATTTGAGTGCCACCAGCAATAGCAACCAATTCCAAGGGCTGAAAGCCACAAATATCTGAAAAAACATGGTGTGGGCTTCTATCTCCTACCTACACTCATTTGCGCCGATGTGTGCCACACGTCTGAAGTGAGGATGGCTTCTAGAAAGCAACTGCATCAACCTGGCTCAAAGGTAACATACGTACAATCCGTGAGTCATGCTAACAATCCAACTGTGTCACTGAGCTCTGAGTGTTGATGTCTTCTAATCTTCTTTAAAGCATTTGTGTTCAGGTAATTCAGCTTCTGACTTAAAAGCAGTCATTCAGTAAAGCTCTGTATGACCTCTATCTCATCATGATAGGAAAAGCAATGATGAGAAAAGAAAAATACTTCTTCATTCAAAGCCGATTCCTAGCTTTACTCCACACTGGCTTCATCTTTTGAGTGAAAATTCAAAATGACAACATATTGCTCATTCGAAATATCATCGGAGTTTTAACGAGGAGAGGAGGCCTTCCTTTCCTGTCAGAACCCAAGAAAGTGCTACCTGCCCTGCACCTGCTCTCTCTCCTCCCCCTGCTCTTGCCCTTGTTTTGAATGGCCAAGGCAGCAGGTAGCTCTTGAACTGCACTTAATTATTTGCTCTGATTTGACTCTTGTAATAAAATGCTTTCCTTGAGTGTTCTCCAGAGGTTACACTGCTGACATCTAGTGGGCAACCACAACTTGTTCACCCTTAACTTCCATAATAATGAAGCATCAGAAAATCAGCAGTTCATAACCCACCAGCTGCTCTGGAAGGAGGTCGAGCGATCTACTTCCGTGAAGATTTACAGCCTCGGAAACCCAATGGGGTGCGCTATGAGTTGTAATCTACTCAATGGCAGTGAATTTGTTTTTTTGTTTTTGTTTTTGGTGAAGGGACTGTAAAGGAGCTCTCGTGGTGTAGTAGTTAAGGCACTTGGCTGCTAACCAAAAGGTTGGTAGTTCAAATCTACAAGTTGCTCCATGAAAGAAAGAAGAGACATTCTGCTTCCATAAAGATTTACAGCCTTGGAAACCCAATAGGGTTGCTATGAGTCGGAATTGACTGGATGGCAGTGTGTTTAGAAGTGACCATAAGGAGCCCTGGTGATGCAACAGTTAAGGATTTGTCTGCCGGCTGAAAGTTCAGAGACTCCAACCCACTCAGCAGCTCTATAGGAGAAAGACTTGGTGATCTACCTCTGTCAAGATTTCAGCAGAGGAAACCCTATGGGGCAGTTCTGTTCTGTCACATGGAGTCCAAATCAACTTGATGGCACACAACAACACAGTGACCATATATAATTATGCTTGAACCAAGAGTGTCCTGGAAAACTAGGTCATATGGTTTTTTCTAGAAGAATAAGGAAGAAAGGGAGGCTAGGAAGAAGAGGAAGAGAAGGGGAAAGAGAGAGATGGAGGAAGGCAGACAGAAGGATAACAAACACACCAGCACATTACTGAGCTTTATGAGCTGTAATTCATAGGAAAAAAAAATCAAGTCCATCTTTCTGAAAGCTTTACACAGTATTAAAAAAAAAAAAGCAAGAAACAGAACCAGATCCATGAGATACACGTAAAAACTCATTTTCAAAAACCAAGGTACATCAACATTTTACGTCTTTAACAATTTTGTTATTAAGATCTATTTATTAGAAAAAGAAGCATAACAATCTGTCACAGAAAAATGTTGAGGTGAATTCTATGGATCTGCTCCTAGTTCTTCTTCATCTGGCTAGGTCCCCAAGGCCAAATTTCTTACCTTGCAATCTTTCTTATCTGAAAAGGGGGAAAATTATAATATTTACCTCATAGAAAGGAGCTCTGGTAGTGTAGTGCCTAAGGCATTTGATTGCTAACCAGAAGGCTGGTGGTTCAAACCCACCAGCCACTCCTCCGAAGGAAGATGGGGCAATCTATTTCCATAGTGATACTGCCTCAGAAACCCTAAGAGGAGTCGTTATGAGTTGGGTCTGACTCAATGGTACATAACAACAACAACCTCATAGAATAGGTAGGAGCATTAAAAAAAAAAATCAAAGAGTAAAGTAGTTGGCACTTAATCTATACTAGTTTTATTATTTTTAATAGTACTTTTTATTTTACAGATGATAAAATGCCATTCTGTTGCAGTGACATATTGTGCTCAGTAGAAAATGAGAATTATTACTCATATACTATACCAGTAACTCTTCCATGTATAATTGTACTAGATTTGCAATTTTTCTTAGTTCATATTAGTGAGGGCAGATAATTTCTGTATACACACACCCAGCAAAGATCATTGGCAAATTGAGACAGGAAGGGGTGAGAAGGGCAAACAAACATTAGATGGAACTTTTAATAAAAGAACTGTTAATGGCTCACATATTTTTTTTTTTTCTTTCTCTTCAGTTTGACTTCAGATCTAGTCACTAAAATGAGACTATCAAGTGGATCACAAGAAGGCATTATGTTGGGTCTCCCCTCGCTCGCTCAGAAAAGAACATGTAAACAACTGTAGTAAAAAGCTTCCTGGTAATAGTTATTTTATTTTCATTTTCATTATACTTTTTTTCTCAAAGAAGTGAGAAAGAAAGAAAGAGCTTCCCATCATGGTCTGTAGAAAAGAATTAAGAATCAGAAGACCTTGGTTCTTAAGTGCCATCATAATAGTCACATCAATGTAGAGAAAAGACTTGAGTTCTGCAGCTAACTCCTCTACCAAGTGAAGGTTTTGCTGCCAAAAGTGTCTTCCCTTGGCATCATTTCAACTAATTCAGTGGTACTTTCACATACTACTTGATCATTCTTTCAAAACCTCTTTCTTAATTCAGGTATTCTAGAAAGCAGAGGGGAGCTCTGGTAGCATAGTGGCTAAGACACTTGACTGCTAACCAGAAGGCTGGCGGTTCAAACCCACCAGCCACTCCTCAGAAGGAAGATGGGGCAATCTACTTCTGCAGTGATACTGCCTCGGAAACCCAAGGAGGGGTCACTATGAGTCGGGTTCGACTCGATGGCACATAACAACAACAACAACAACAACAGAAAGCAGAGTATGGGACAAAATTTACATGAGAGTGGTAAATCCATGGCAATGAAAATGAGGGAAAGAGGAAAGTGAAGGAGAAACACTTTCAGAATAGCAATGTAAATCGCTCCACAGAACCTCTTTCCACAAAACAACCATAATTTGTCAAAATAGTTAAAAAAAAAGAAACAATCAAAATCTCTGAAAATTGTCCTAGGGACATGTTGTAAATGAAGGCCATTTTTGATAATGATTAGAAAACTAGACAGAATATCAACAAGAATGTAGAAAACTTGAAAAACACTATAAACCAACTAGACCTAACTGACATCAATAGAAAACTCCACCCAAACACAGCAGAATCTACACTCTTCTTAAGTACCTATGGAATATTCTCCAACATAGATCATATGCTAAACTAACTAACTAACTCACTGCCATTGCGTCGGATCTGACACATAACAACTCCTCCTTGGGTTTCAGAGTCAGTATCTCCACAGAAGATTGCCCAACCTTCCTTCTGAGGAGTGGATTTGAATCACCAGCCTTCTGGTTAGCAGTCAAATGCCTTAGCCACTACTCCACCAGAGCTCCTATGCTAGGCCATAAAATAAGCCTCTAAATCTAAAGGGTTGAAATTGTTTGAAGTATTGCCTCCAACCACAATAGAATGAAATTAGAACTTAATAGCAGAAGGAAACTTGAGAAATTCACAAATATGTGGAAATCAAGCCAAACACTCCAAAATAATCAATGAATCAAAGAAGAAATTACAAGGTAAATTAGGAAATATTTTAACTGAATGCTAATGACATTCAACATATCAAACTTTGTGGGATGCAGCTAAGCAGTGTTTAGAGAGAAACTTATTGCTGTAAATATTTATATTAAAATTAAAAAAAAAAATTTCAAATCAATATCCTAAGCTTCTCCTTCAGACACTAGAAAAAGAAGAGTAAACTTCACCTAAAGCACCCAGAAGGAAGGAAACTACATAGAGTCACAATAAGCAAAATAGAGAATACAAAAAATAAATAAATAAAATAGAGAGTGAATTGGTGAAACCAAAAGTTGACTCTGAAAAAATCAATAAAATGGACAAGATTTTAGATAGACTGAATGACAAGGAATCAAACTACTAAAATCAGGAAGGAAAGAGAGGATATTATGTCCCACTTTATAGGAATATAAAGGATTATAGTGGAATCTATGAGCAATTGTATTCCAACAAATTAGAAAACTTGGAGATTTCCTAGAAAAATTTCTGGAAAAAATTCTAGAAAGATACAAATTTAAAAAACTGACTAAAGAAGAAATATAAAATTTGAACAGCCCTATATAAGGAGCTTTGATGGTGTAGAGGATAAGGCACTTGGAAGGTCAGCAGTTCAAACCTACTAGCTGCCCCAGAAGGAAGATGGGACAATCTACTTCTGTAAAGATTTACAACCTCACAAACCTAATGGGAATCATTATGAGTCAGAAATGACTTCATGGCAGTGAAGTTTTTTATTATTATTATTATTATTTATAAAAGTAACAAGATTGGAGTGGCAATTTAAAACTTCCCACAAAGAAAGTCCTAATTTTTTATTTAGCATTCTACTAAATTATACCAAACATTTAAAAAATTGTTATTATCAATTATTCACAAACTATTTCAGGTGCTCACAGTAGATTCCACCATGGAGTTGATTACCAGTCTCATCATGGGGAATACTACACCCAGCTGCTTTAGCTGCCCATTCATTCAACCAGGCCCAGCCAAATTGACACACAAACTGAACTACCACAGTGGCTATACACATGGACTTCACCAGATGGAGTACACAGGAATCAGATCTACATGTGTGGCAAGAGGCAATGGAAAGGCTCATTATCGTCAGTCAAAACAAGGTCTGGAGCTGATTGTGGAACAGACCATCAACTGCTCATATAGAAGTTTAACTTGAGGCTGAAGACAACTAAAACAAGTCTATGAGAACCGAAATATGACCTTGAATATATCCCTCCTGAATTTAGAGACAATCTGAAGAATTGAAGCAATA